AGGAACTCTGACTGGCTGGCAACGAACCAACCAAGAGCCCATTGCCCAACAAATATCCAGGGGAAAGTTTAGATGGATTGGATTGGACATAGACTGAGAAGACGGTTTGGGGAAATCACACACCAGGCCAGGCCGTCTAGTTGAAGCCAAATGGGAAACGCGGAGTTGAACGTCGTAGAGTGACATGGAGGTGATCGTGTGAGGAAGAAATGAAAGGTTATGGGCAGTCGTGGAGCCAGGTTAAAAAAGAAGACTGTATAGAAGAGAGGGAAATGGTGACGTGCTACTAAAGCCGTTTGTTCCACTAGGAACTCAAAAAGGACAAATAATAATGTAATGATATAATTTTGAGCCTGTGATACTCAAAATTTATTTTTATTTGAGTATTTAATTCAAGCTCAAATCCTATAGTAACGCCTTAAAACTCTCATTTCTATGAAGTTGAATATTGAAAATAAGGTAAGAATATATGACAAAACTTCTGTTGAAATTTCAAAGATAATATTCTGTTTACTTGTACTCATGCACATACAGACACAGACATACATATGCACACACACAAGTACAAATGCATGTACATATTCAATATGACTCACTCTGATTGGAGTATGAATAAACATCTCGAATTCTAACAGTATCTAATTATCGCAACTAACACCCTAAAGGCATCACCCTTCGTGCTTCCAGTTAATCATTCTATCTAGGTTCAAGAATAAAATAATCTTTTTTGCCTTCCGTTAACAAGATTTTTCCTTCTCCTGTTTAAATTTTTCGTGCATTTGTTCATGTATGTATGTATAATGGTTAGGTTAGGGTGTTTCCTCAGATTTATATACCCTGAAAGTTGTGTTTACTGTAGGGGATAGTTTTGACTCGTAAAGTTGAATTACTGAAGGTGTTCACATTTTTACCATAATTCAGATTCAGCTACTTAGTATTTTTACACATTTACTAATGGTTACTGAGTTCACTGCCTTACACTCGTATAGTCAAAATTGCCAGAGGCTAGACATATTATCAAAATTAGCCTTAAACCATATAACCTTTACAATGAAAATTTGTTTGTGCATTCGCTTGTGTATGTATGCATGCTACTTCTTCATGTCAGACCAAACTTAGAAAGTAAGTTTTTGTTGAAGAAACTGTTTTCAAGTGAAATACTATTTTGAGTATTATACTTAAACGACATAAGAATCTGAGTTGAATTTTATCTGTATTTCAGTGTTACTATAATGATCAGCTGATGATAGGGTTTTGTCTAGCCTATAGGTAAGTGGTACATTGTTGCTAGGGCTGTGTGAGTTTAGTGGTCCGTCACACACTAAAGTAAACAGGTTCAGTTAGTTTTTTCATAATCACTTAAGATCAAGGATTTATTGAAGACTTACAGACTTTTTTATTTCAAACCTAGAGAACACATACCTGAACAGAATGATTAACCGGTTCGAAATTTATAAACGATACGTAGATGATATCATCATCTCCAATAGTACGGATAATGTAGAAGATAAAAACTGCTACCCTTCAGTCAGGTTCACATTAAAGAAGAAACTTCAGTCTAAGCCAAAAAGATTAGACAATGGATTACCTGAAAGGTGTTTCCACAAAAAACCCACACAGAACGGACAACATACGAAGTCTGATTAGCTCTATGTGCAACAGGATCCACACTATCTGCAGTTCTGATACTCTGAAAGATGAACTTAATTTCTTGATTAAAAACCAGTATCATCAGCGTTTCATTGTTAAAACTATAAAACTGAAAGCAAATAATCATTTCACTTCTATGGCTCCTAAGAAGCCTCTTTTCATGTGCTTACAGTTCAACAGAGACAAGTCAGCAGATGTATTGACCCAATGCTTCGATTGTGTATAAAGGATAAGCTAACTCCTTTGGCCACCTCAATGTATGTTTATCAATTCACCTGCTGTTGTGGAGTAAGGTAATATTGGCAATATTCAGCTTTCGCTTTCTAAACACACTTCCGAACAAATACCAGCCTGGTTCAACAAAGGAGAAAATGGAACACTTTGCAGCCTGAACTCTGCATTCCAAAGAAGTTTACCCAGTTATTTGAGTTGCAATAAACTTAATGCATAAGAATATTTTTATCTTCAAAAATCTTTTCATTCAGATCTTCTCACATATTACATTCTTCCACTTCTATAGTTGTGATTTCTCTTTACATTCACCACAGTACATCATTTAACTCAATAACTAAATATTAGTTCTGTCTTGATAAATCTTTTTCTCATTACTATTTCAAATATTACATACTTCCTTTTTTCCGATCTCCTGATTTATTATCAAATATGAACTTTTTGAAAATATTTCATAATACCTTCCTTTTCTGCTAATATGTGAATAGAATATCTATGTACGATTGTACAGCTTAAGAATGATATCTCTGACAACAGTAACTCTTCGCTATATTGTTTTTGTTTTATTGAAGATTTTTCAAAATGATTCTGCACATACTACTCACTGCACAGACTCAATCGATTTCAGTAGTATATACTTGATGTTGAGTTCATATTTTGATAGCAAACCTAGAGGAAAGCAATGGAATAGATTTTTCCTTGACATAATTTACTTCAATTTTCGGAAAATTTGATGTTCTTTATAACTGTGATCCTTTAAAAGTGAAAGATACTATACAAAACATATTGCTTACATAGATTGAATACCTAGAGGACATGTGCAGTTAGATAAATTCACAGTATCCCGTTTACTTGTATTACAAGTTCATATTTGGAAATAACCTGAAAAAAAGTGATGTTGGAACAATCTCCAACATAAAAGCTATAGCCTAAAACAAATACTAACCATTGAATGAGTTAAGGCAGCATATCTTATAAATGTCCCTCATTCTGAATCATCAATCAAGTTACTTTTATACAATGTACAATTGTACAAAGTGGTGATTGTGCCTGGTTGATTATATTTATTCTAAATTATATAACATCTCACAAATAACAAGCTATTTAGCTAATCTGTTCAGTAATAGTTCTAGGAGAATTTGTTTGTGGACATTTACGCTAGACAAAACTAATTCTATGAGTAGAGAAAACTTCAGTCTATTAAAAATATTTGAGTTTCTGGTCAAGGTTCCCGGATTATTTCGTCGGTTATGTGAATATACAGTTATATGGCAAGCATTCAGTTTTTTTTAAAACACATACTAAAATGCTGCGGTTTAGTATATTACCTTCGTAACTCTAAGTTAGCCGAACCAATCTAATAGAATAAGTACAGGTGGATAGAAGAACTGTCAAAACTCCCTTTTCCTTCGGAAAAAACCTCAGGTAAGTTACTTACCAAAGAAAAATAATGTAAATAAGGTTGTATTCTAATTTACTGATCATCATAACCAAGAATAACCGAACCTAAATGATCCAAGATGAATTTTAATATTGAAACGAATGGTTATACAACAAACTGTTTTGTGATTCCACAATTTATTCCTAAAAGGCGTGTGCCTACAAACTACTGCTAACTTTGAAATTGAAATACTTTTTTTCCCAAATGTTTTATAACAGCCAATTATAATCGTATTTGTAAGTGTAAAACTTGAGCACTGTGATAGAATGTAATTCCATATTAGATTTGTCTATTGGATATCGCCATCACACAGTGATACAGCAATGACATTTCCAGCATAAATTATTATCACTCATAATCACATCAATGTAATCACACTCCTTTCGATATCTGATTTCTATTGTTCTGTCACCTCTTATTCTTTGTTTCCATTGGTAGTAAAATTTTTCCATATCTCTGGTATAGATGTTGCATCATTCCTATTACATCAACTGGTTGGCTGGATGTTGATCTAATGAGCAATGCTTGAGAAATCAATCTCTCCACCTAGTTATATTGCATTCAAGTACAGTGGGTTTTATCCCACCCAATGGTGTGGTTGTGTGTCAATGCATGATTTGAAATAGGCAAGTGTTTTTTATAAATTGTTGATCTTATTCGGGTCTGTCATTTTATATTGAGCTAGATTTCTATGTTCCGCCAGTCTTAGTGACCCGAACCGTCTGACTAGTTCCACCTATGTACTTTAAGTCACAGTCATTACATGTAACATGGTAGATTAGATTATTTTACTTAATTGGTTCTATCGGTCCTTAAACCAGCTGACAAAGCTTATTTCTGACTGAGCTTTTAGGTTAAAACGCTACTCTAATTCCAACCTTGGTGTGAATCCTACGCGAAGTTTCTGATGTTCCTTATATGGTAAAACCATAGAGGCTTTGGATCTATTTCTAATCGTGTTGTCGTTATTATCAGAAACTTTACGTCAGATTTACATTTTCACTTAAGGATCCAATGGAACCAATTAAGTAAAATAATCTAATCTACCATGTTACATGTAATGACTGTGAGTTAAAGTACATAGGTGGAACTAGTCAGACGGTTCGGGTCACTTAGACTGGCGGAACATAGAAATCTAGCTCAATATAAAATGACAGACCCGAATAAGATCAACAATTTATAAAAAACACTTGCCTATTTCAAATCATGCATTGACACACAACCACACCATTGGGTGGGATAAAACCCACTGTACTTGAATGCAATATAACTAGGTGGAGAGATTGATTTCTCAAGCATTGCTCATTAGATCAACATCCAGCCAACCAGTTGATGTAATAGGAATGATGCAACATCTATACCAGAGATATGGAAAAATTTTACTACCAATGGAAACAAAGAATAAGAGGTGACAGAACAATAGAAATCAGATATCGAAAGGAGTGTGATTACATTGATGTGATTATGAGTGATAATAATTTATGCTGGAAATGTCATTGCTGTATCACTGTGTGCTGGCGATATCCAATAGACAAATCTAATATGGAATTACATTCTATCATAGTGTTCAACTTGTACAATTATATTAAAGGATGAATTCTACACTACATGAGTTAAAGACTGTCTTCATAAATCAAGCTATTTTACTATGCAAAGCAATTATGATGTATTAACTTACTTTGTCAAGGCTTGTAGTGAAGATGTATATAAAGTACCACCGACATCTATGTGTACAGGAGCTGAATATTTGGTAAGAGTAGCTGGTTGAGGTACACCAAGTTTAGTCCAATGTAGTGCCGGTTTTCGTGTAGAAATATCATATGATATAGGTTGTTGATGGTGTTGATTACTTTTTTGTTGCACTATTGGAGTATGTTTGTCATTAATGAATTTAAACAAAGGGTTTATCAGTTTTTCTTTGAATCCTGAAACCAAATGCTCATCATTATTAGATATTTTAGTGATCACTTGACTTTGAAGTGATCTCATTCCTGTTGGATCATCTTGATTTGTGTATTCAGTATTTGAGAGATCATTGATCTTGGTAGTATTACATTTTTCCGAATACGAAGTTATATTTCTGTTTGACTGTATTTTCAATGATGGTATACTCGGTGGAGAAGAGTTATTCAACAAGCTTAAAATGGAGACTAAATCACCTGATACTTTGCGATTACTGCCCAATAAGTCCTGATAGTGCTTTATTTCATTACACAGTTGATACAATTTGTTAGGACTCCGTATACTCATATCACTATTGTTATTATTACTATTATTGTCATTAGTAGTAGTAGTAACAGTATCACTATTATTTGGAATGATAAATTTAATCCTGTCAATAACACCCGTATTTTCGGAGTTATCTATTGAATCATCTTGACTAATTGATCCTGTTTGCTTATGTTGACGTAAGTGATTTACCAACTTCTTGAAGTCATCATGTATTGTGCAACTGACTTTAATGAAGTCATTTGAAGTACAATCATTATTATTATCACCATCATCAATGAATTCATCAGTCTTTTCTTTACAATCAGTATGACCCTGTAGAAAAGTTGAACTGAGAGAGTTGATCCAATTCAACTTAAGTATATTTTGAGCATAAGAAGTTGTTTGTATAAATTCGAATAATTCCTTTGCCTTGTCTGAAGTTAGTTCATTTGCTTGATCTAAATTGAACAAATTTGATGGATCCGATACTAATTCAGGTGACAATGTTGATTGTTCAGATATTTCAGTATTCTGTAAAATTGAGAAAATACTGATTTATTATATATATAAAACCAAAAATAGTTTTTTCATGAAATTTTTCATGTTAAACTAATATAAAAACTTATTACCTGGTTATATGTTTACTTGAACTCATCAGAAATTCAAGCATTACCCATTCATTTAACTTCATATCCTTTTCATCTATAATGAGTAACATCAGTTTGACTATCTGAGATGGCTGTGATTTGGTAGACTAATATCATCATCCACTATCAAGAAAACAAGTCTACCAAACCATGACTATCTCAGATAGTCAAATTGACAGTCAATATGGTGCAAAACCTCTCTAATTCAAGTCATTTTGTGTTGTGATGAGAAGTCGTAATTGGACAACCTGTATGAATATGATCAAGTGATAGTAATGTGTCATGAATTCACATGGCAGTCAATCAAAACTCTTGATGACTGAAGTGAAATTATAATCTTGTCAGCAGCCGAGTTTCGTGTCTCATTTCGAAGAGGATTAGGTCAGTAACCTAGAGGTCACTGATTCAAATTAGTAATAAGACAACAAAACATTTGATCACAACTGAATTATTGACAATCTTTGAGTTATTTTCATTCACTTAAGAAAAAGGGTATCCCAGTTGGGATTCGAAATATCATCAAAATTCTTGGATGTTTAAGTAAGTCAGTAGATTTCATTTTTGTTTGCATTCAGAGCATTCCAATGAATAACCACAGATTGAATGCAAACGTGTATTAAATGGAGCTCATAACATTTCCCCATACATATTAAAACTAGTTAGTGATCAACAGTAATACAATAACACTATAAAATCTCAAAATTACAAAAGGTGGTAAAGGGTTTGTTTATCCTTGGTCATTCATGATAACTATAACAACCCCGTACAGCAACGGGAGATTACAGGTATCAATAAACAACGCCGAATACCCGTTGGACAAAAAGGGGATATCGTGCCCTAGTGGATAACGCTGTAATGTTTGAAGCGGGGGATCAAGAAAACCGAAACTGACCCCATATGAAGCGCCAACTTTGAAAGCATATTGAATGGTTCAAGGGCAAAACCTTGGATATCATCGACCGTAGAGTGAAGAAAGTTGGTCAACTGAGTTACATCTTTCGTTCGATTTGTTAAAATGAATCTGTTTTCAACAAAATAGACGTAAAGGATCGTTATAAGCCACTTGATAGAGGACAATACTGGTTCCAAGTTTTACCCTCCGTTGTTCCCAGTACCTAAACCTAGTTTTTTATCATCTCTGTACACAGTAAAAATCTATTGAATGTTCACATGTTTTCCGCCTCATTTATGCTCAACATTTGAAATGTCATATACTCTTACTGATGATTTGATTCATTAACTGAAGTGTTGAAGTTTAATCCTTATTACCAAGTTACTGGTAATACTGAGCGACAATGCCTGTATTACGTTTCCCTTCTGTTGTGTAATAAAACGGTTTTTATTTAATATTTGTGACTAGTAATATTCAAACAATAGAGTAATATGGGAGAACCATTTTTATCCTCTTTAAAATTTCTCAACTTCACTGAGAACAATGACCTTCAGTTACTGCCTGTAAAAATGGCATGTGTTCGTATAATTTATTATTCGGAACAAATTATTATTATTATTATTATTATTATTATTATTATTATTAACTGGGTTTGAGTCTCAGTGGGAACAACATTACTCAATAGGATGCAGGTACATCCACGTGACGATTCCCAACTAAGACGAAACGTGGATCATGTATTCCACTACTAACCAGCAAGCAGATTAAAAACGGACTATGTTAGTGAATTAGGTTTTACTAACAACAGAACTGTATAGCGTAGAAATAAGCCATGTTATAGGCAGTTACATTTTCAAAATAAGGTGAGGTCTAGGGATTGTAAGGAAATTGACACCACGTGTAGTTCGCCAACATCTGCTGAACATAGCAGAGGTTATGGCAATAATATTGATCAAACCTGAACTCTGCATCCAGAATGAACATCTCCCTTTGCCTTCAGCTAACGAAAAGTCACTCTTACTATCTTATTCGTTATCTTTTTGTTCACCATCATATCATTCTTCTGTATATTTATTATCCTAATATTAACTGATTTAAGAGAGTTAAATCCATTTCCTTACAATCCCTAGATCTTACTCAATTTCAGAAATGTACCTGCCTATAACCAGGCTTATTCTTATGCTGTACAAATGCATTTGATAAGCGTAGAACCTGAAGAGAATTTATTGAAATGAATAATCTTCATCCAGATTGTTGCATTTTTATCAATATTATAGGAGTCGTTAGTTATTTGAAATCTTAGGACTGTATAGACATAATTTTTTTAGCCTAGAGGGGCATACACTGGACCGCAGAAGAGAACCTAGAAGATTTGGATTTCGCCGATGACCTGTGTTTAATGTCCTGTTGCACAGACTGGAAGATGTACAGGCGAAAACTAACAAGTTGACAGAAGAAGCGAGGCAGCGAAGACAGGACTTCAAGTGAACGTAGAGAAGACAGAGGTGATGAAAATATGCAACCAACAACAACAACAAGATCCAATCACCATCAATGGGAGAAACCTAAAGGAAGAAGTCTCTTTCACCTATCTAGACAGCACTGTTTCAACTACAGGCAGCACAGCCTTAGACAAGGACGTTAAAACCAGCCAGGATCGGAAAGACAGCAAGACAGGCGTTCATTAGCCTGGAACCAGTGTGGAGATCTTCTGCACTCAGCATGTGGAACAAGATCCAGATTTTCAACACCAACGTCAAGTCAGTGCTTCTGTATGGCTCAGAGACTTGGCGAGTTACGAAAGGCATTTTCAACAAACTACAGAAATTCATCAACAACTGCCTACGCTGGCTCCTTACTGAAGATGCGATGGCCAGAATAATAAGAATAAGCAAAAAGGAACTCTGGGAACGAACCAACGAAGCAAGAACCTATCGGTCAACCAATATGCAATGGAAGGAAGTGGAGATGGATTGGGCATACACTGAGAAGGCCGACTTGGGACATCACACCCAGGCCAGGTTGTCTAGTGGAACCCCTATGGGAAGCGACAAGTTGGGTGTGAAAGGGTGACATAGAGGAGATCGTATGAGGAAGAAATGAGAGCTTGTGGGCTGTCGTGGAGCCAGGTTCAAAAAATTTCAGAGAAGAGAGTGCACTGGAGACGTGCTACTGAAGGTGTATGTTCCACCAGGAACCCAAGGGATAAATAATAATAATAATATTTTTTAGCCTAAGATATCACTGGTAATGAGTTTTTGGATTAGTTATCAAAAATAAGTGTCTTGATAGCAACATTTTATTGTCTAACATGAATACTAACTTTTTTTAAACAAAGTAAAACAGAGAATATTTAAGAAATATTTACAATCTGTGTTGATACCTGTCATATGAAAAAGATAATAATTGAATTAAATGACTATGAGCTAAAGTGAAGTGGATTAGGTGGCAAAATGCACTTCATTGTAGGTTTTTTTTATTGTTCCTATTTATAACAACAGAGGTTACTGACACTTCTCATAACTACTAAGTGGATTCAATAAAACTGAAAAAAATGGATACATTTTACTAATGTATACTTTTGAACTCAAAAGACTTACTTGTTCCATTATTCAGTTGTTTATTTCCATTTATAATGAATGTCAAAATTAGGGTATTTCATTTGAAAATGCATTTTATTAGGATCATTTGACAAGTAAATATTACAATGAGATGAATATATTACTAACAGTTATGTTGAATGACGTTTATATTATCTCGTTCCTTACGTAAATTACGGTAGTATATATATATATATATATATATATATATATATATATATATATATACGTAGGAATAACTGACTAACGTGTTCCATCTCCTAATGACATCCAATGCGAAATGATTACCTCAAGGCATTTCTCATTATGTGTGTATATATGCATATGTTCGTGTTGATATGTCTATATGAATAATAGAGAAGTTGTTGGATATTACAGAAATAGGAAATAGCTTACAAGAAAAAGAAATATGAACTGAAGTACAACATAAACAAAAGAGGCAAGGTTAGCTAACAAGAAGTTAAAGTAATTATACTGTGACAATGCCAGAACAATGTTAACCCGAAGTTTACCTTCTGGCTAATTTCATAAGTTACAGTTGATTAGCCTTAGGTGATATTAACAAAAGAAAACTAAATTGGAGAGAAGAAGAAATTCTTAATTTTTATAGAAATATAAAGTAGATAATATAAACAAGAATATTTCTAGAAAAATAGCCTAGCGAATGACAATGTTCTTAATATTCATAAATGTTATAAAATGTAGAAAAATACAATTCCTTAATATGGTATAACTTGTAGTTGAAGAAAGATCGAGGATCACAACAGTGAACCAGATGGTAGATAAAGGCTACAAGATAATTCTCATATATTAGCTTTCTGGAATAACAGTTTAGTTAATCTGACGAGTTCCAAGATGAGTAACTAAATAAAGAAGTGAACAATATCGATAAAACAATAGTTTTTGTGGCCAAATTAGCCTTTCACAGATGTATCCTTATCAGATATATGATGTTGTTTGTAGCTACCATGACTGGGTGACCTAGTGGGTAGCGCTCTGGGGTTTGAACAAATAGGTCCCGGGTTTTAGTTTTAGCGGGAACAACATCGCTCACTGGAAGGCAGGTACATGCGACTGATGAGTCCCAAGAAGGACAAAACGTGTGTCTTGGATTTCACTGCTTACCACTATTCATCATTACTTATCAGGTATGTTTAGAATTCATGAAAACAGTCACATCACAATATCTTAAACCATAAGACACGTTTAAGGTCTAGCATGTCAGATTTTGAGAGTCACTCGACTATACATAATATCAGAAGCCAAAATTCATTGTGCGTAAGCGTTGCACCACTTAACTTTCTGGTCGTATCGCAACTTTGTTCCAATAAGCTTGGTAGTATTGTATTCTCTGAGATGGGTTGTTTAATCGTGGAGCTTTCATCGTCTTTCTAGATGACATCATCAATACTAACTTCAGTATGAAGTAGCTGTCAATATCTCTCCGTGAGTGATTTAGTAGCTTGCCCTGACCAACTGGTTTGTGATTAGTTGTTTCTTTTGATAGTTGTGTCATTGACTGCATAGATCTTTCTGTTGGTAGTTCCCCTGTTTGTCATCTAACTTTTCTGTCATCTGTCATTTTTCTTATTGGTTGATGAATTCAGTCTTTGTCTATACATCTATTGATTGCCGACTGGCCTGAATGCCAGGCTTCTAGGAACTCTCTAATATTCTTTGTGTTCCCTCTGTCCAAGATTTCTACATTGTCGAAAGTGAATTGAGTGATGAAATGTCGTGAAGTTTAATAGCCAATTGGAGTTATGTAGACGAAGGAGTAGAGGTCGACCGCTCCATACAATGTAGTGTTGACTATAGTTATTTCAGTTGATTTTGTAAATGATGTTCGGTTTGTCTTCTTTGGTTGTTGCATCCTTTGGTCTACATAATAGGGTTTGGAGGGGATTTGTTGGTTTATGAGCCACACCAATTTCTAGTGGTCTCAGTAATCTTGTCGTGATTTCTGATTCATTCTTTATGTATGGTAGGAAGGTGCGTTTGTTGATTTCTGTAGATGTCTTTGTAGTTGATGATGTACGGAATAGGTATCTTCTGATAAAGTTTCGTGGGTAGCCATTCTTCTTTAGGATAGATATCAAGTAATTTTCTCCGTTTCTCCGTCAAGTTGTTGTACTGTAGTGTGTTCTCGCTCTCCTGAATAAAGTCTGCACGCATCTAATTTTGTGCCTTGTTGCTACTATAGTTGAGGATTTGACCAATGTGTGTTGGCTTCCCGTACACTTGAGTTTCCAGTTTTCTGCATCACTGATTTTGCAATTAGTCCGGATATTAGTGATCCCATTGAAGTTTTTTCATCTGTTTGTATATCTTGCCATTGAATTAGAAGTATGTTGTCAGGCATAGGACGATGAGTTCCATCAGATTTGAGCATTTAAGTTTTGTGCTCTTTGAAAGACTTGCATCCTCAGTGAGCTTAAATGAGTAATGAACATTAAGTAACCGATGTTTACACTCGTTACTCGCTGATGGTCAATTTCTGTAAAGTTTACCTTATTGATAATGTTACTGTAACTATTAATTGAAGAGAAGTCGGTTCTTTAGTAAAGTATGCATTTTGATATTTCAAGCACAGTATGTCTTCTTCAACTTTCATCAAGGTAATCACTCCATAGTTGGGAATAGGGAGTAACAGTTCAACTTGTTACAATTTCCTTTCATTACTTAAAAGGGAAACTCGTTTTCCTTCATTTGTTAGTCAATAATTAGGAGTTCTGTGGTTTTAAAAGGTAGGTCGACGAAGTGTAACAAAAATGAGCTTACAACTATACCAGAAACTTATAAAATTCTGTATACATCGTTACAACATTAGCAGTGTTATACAATTAAGCAGTTTTTACACTACAGCGAATCGAACTTCGTGCCAAAAATGAAGCATTGACAACAGAAGGACAGGTTGTTAGACAGACAGATAAATAGAACCTTAGGAAGAATCAGAAATATCTAGCTAATGTTAAGAAAGGATTATTTTTATTTTAAGTGTAAAAAGCATGAGAGAATTTTTCAGTAATCATTAGAGAGTGAAATTATTTTCACATGGAGGATTAAATCATGGCGTGATAGCCGAAAATTTTTAAATTAAGAGAACAATCAAGTAGTTTATAGGGTTAAAGCATATTTTTCATCTAGTATTCTTTACCCATTATTCTTGTAAAACTTGATAGTTTCCTCGGTTAATTGCCTTTTCTTAAAGTAGAATGCAATTATCGAAACCTTCTTCCAAGTTGAATAGATGTATGTTTTCTTCTCAGATAATAATTAGAATGGATAAGCCATATAGTTATTCAATGGAAAGGTATACTGTTAGTTTTCTCATTCATGTAGATACTTTATCCACGAAATAAAAGTGAAAATTTGACAATTGTTACCAGAAGTTAAGAAAAGTGGATGTTGGATATTACAGTTTGCAATTTCATGTTGTTTAATAAGTCGATAAAATTGACTGGCATATAACGACCAGCAGTTGATAGATTTTCACGTAACCAGTAGGTAGGTATGTTGTGTGTGTGTGTGTGTGTGAGAGAGAGAGAGAGTTTAGTGGTGACCAGGAGAATCTCGAAAGGAAAAGGGGAAGAGAAAATCATGAGCCAACCACTCAGCAAGTATATAAGATGTACTTACATTTTATAGTGAAAAATAACTGATGAACGGTGGAGCTGAACAACAAAGAGGTGAGGTAGTCTAGAAGTCGAAACTGGAAAGTGAATGAGTAAGGTTTCAAATGCTTCAGTGTACCTGAGTAAGTTAGAGGCAAGAGATGCATTTCAGTCGAGTCGATGGCTGCTATTGAATGTACATCAGGTCTCTGTTAATACGTGGGTCTTCCACATGTATACATCTTCACTGTCAGTTAAATCCATTCAAACAACAGTGCTTCAATCATTTAGCTGATAGACGACAAAACCACTCACTAGAGAGTATTTATTAGTTGGCACTGTAACAAATTCTATACAAGTTAATCACATGAGAAGACTTTGAGATGACGGATTATATTTGTAGCTCAGGAGGATGATTTTGCTGGTGTTGAGTTTTTTATTCGTGAAACTTTCATTGTCATTCTAAACAACATCATATGCGTAAACTTCCGAAAGAAGTGAGCTGTGGAATTTTCTCCACAAGTGATTTAGTAACTTGTGCTGATAACTTTAGGTGTGACTGGTTGTTTCTGCTAATATCTTCTGTTTGTCTCCATACTTATTTCGATTGTTTTTCTTGTCTTGACCTTTCTTTGACCTTCATTTTGCTTTCTTCAATTTTATTGGTTGACATATTATGTCAGTGTTAATATTTCTACTTATCTCTGACTGATCTGAATGTCTAACTTGTAAAAACTCTGGCATTCTTTGTACTTCCTCTATCCAGGGATTTTTACATTCTTCTGGTCGAATTCATGTCTGTAATCGCCCATATATACCGATATGAGAGAAGAAGTGTCATGACGCTTCACTGCTAGTTGGTGTTCACGTAGACAGATTTGAAAATGGCAACCACTTTGTCAGATAAAGTGTTTTTCATAGTTCCTTCAGTTTATTTTGTCGATAAGTCTGACTTGCTTTCCTTCGCTATTGAATATTTTGGCCTGCATAACTCAGAGTGAAGGTTTGTGAGCTACAGGGATTCCATAAGGCTTTAGTCATCTAGTTGCCATACGTTCTTCATGTAAGATAAGACGATTCGCTTGCTGGTTGCCAAGATTGACTTACTCGTTGACGATGATTTATATAGACATCTTTTGGTGAAGTTATGTGGATAGTCGTTCTTCTTACCAAGGCTGATGTATCTCAATGTGTATTCACTCTTTTGAATAATGTTTTTATACAACTGATTTTATGAGTTGTTGGCTTATAGATTTCATCCCTGTGATTTTTTTTCTGTACACTTCAGTTTTTAATGTCCCTGAATCTGTTCTAATGATCAAAACATCCTATGGCTCATTTCTTTCTGAAGTTTGTGTTGATAAAGCTGTCTGGAACGACACTGAAAGCTTCACA